CCCTCCCAGGGAGGCTTCCGTGCCCAATGAAGGGCTTTGGCCTGGCTACAGCAGCCTGAGGACCAGCCTGCCCGGCGGCAGCGCTTACTGCCCTTTGATTTTAGCATTTAGAGCTTCTCACCTCGTGGCTTTACAACGATCCCGTATCTTGCCATTAGAAGGAAAACTTTCATTCCTGTAAAGTCTGACAAAAAGCTTTGTTTCGTGCTCTTAACACATACGAGGGGCTTCCTAAAGTTCGTGGAAATTTGCCATTATCTCTCCATTCCATTTTCCCAGGAACGTTCGGATGCCCTCTCATCTGTAAGTGTTTGATTTCTGGGATTGTTTACCTTGGTTCTTGCAAGTCTTTGCTGCAAGAATTCATGCAGCAGAAGCACTTTTGTAAGTCCAAGTAACTTTTATGAGGGAAAAGGAAGTTTCAAGTATTACAGTCTCAGAAAACATGCTATTTCTGGAAAATGTGCAAGCACACGTGGTGGGACCCTGGGAATAGCATTTAAGAGGAGTCCACTGAGCGGAGGGGAGAGGAGAGAGCAAATCTTGAGAGGCACATGAACAAAGGAGAGTTCCCACACTGACCTGCAGGAGAGCAACCTCAAAGAGCAAGGTCTGCCCTTTGTATAGGGGGTGGGGAGTGGGGCAGGCATGGCTGACGGTATTGACTGAGCTCATTGGCTGAGTTTAGGTCCACATGGGTGTGCCCAGGTTGATCTCCACCTGGGCCTAGGTGACCTGGTTCTGAGCATGCTCCACCCTGGATCGTCCCCATAGGTGTCCGATGTGGGCCTGACCTCCTTGTGACCCCTTTATTGTGGTATGGACAGCCAACTTTAGCATAGGCATTTGATGGAGATGACCCCCTTTATTCCTAATCTTTCTAAATTTCTTTTTTTTCATTATTTAAATCATTTTATTGGGGGCTCATACAGCTCTTATCGCAATCCACACGTCCATTGTGTCAAGCACATTTGTATATTTGTTGCCATCATTTTAAAAAACATTTTCTTTCTACTTGAGCCCTTGGTATGAGCTCATTTCCCCCCTCCCCTCCCTCATGAATCCTTGATAACTTGTAATTTTTTTTTTCATGTATTATGCTGACTGATGTCTCCCTTCACCCATTTTTCTGTTGTTTGTCCCCCTGGAAGGGAGTTATATGTAGATCATTGTGATCGGTTCCCCTTTGCTCCCCACACCTTCCCCTTCCCCTGCTGGTATCACTGCTCTCATTATTGGTCCTGAGGGGTCTTTCTACCTTTCTTAAGTACTTTCCTTGCTGAGGTTTATCTTTATTCCTTTTACTCTTATGATTTGATAGTAACGGTGTAGTCTATCTTAATTGGATCAAGTATTAAGTCCAGCATTTCATCATCTTAGTGAATCTCCTGGGCTCTAAACACACGAGCAGAATATGGGCATGTTAATTGAAAAGCAGTTACAGCCACATTCTCCTGTGCAAACAAGAGCTTGACCTTTCCGATCAGACCCACCAAGCAGACTCCTTTGACTAGTACCACGAATGACCCTGGACTTGTTGTCCTGGTGACAGTCCCTCTCCGAATGTGGCATCAGCTGAATTAAACATTTCAGCCTCCAGGGAGATGTCAAAATGTTACATGTGGAAAAAAGGAAAAAGCTTTGTTAAAATTCATGTTCAGTTTGAATTGATACTGCAATGTCTGCTGTAAATGTATCTCCTAGTGGTGGTACTGTGGTTCAGGCACTGGACTGCCAACCACACAGTTGGCTGTTCAAACCCACCAGCCAGGTCTGCAGGAGAAAGAGGAGGTTTTCTGCTCCTGTAAAGATTTACAGCCTCAAAGTAATCAATACCATGAAACGGTACATATGGGAATTGTTCAATTGGTGTATGTATTGCTTTATGTATTCTCAACACTAAATAAATAAGTTAAAGAAAAAGATTTACACCCTCAAAAACCCAGAGTTAAAAAAAAAGAAAAACACATCTACACCCTCAGAAACCCACAGAGGCCCTTCTACAGTCCTATAATCGTGAGAGCAGTCTGAATAGGGTCCAGGGCAGCGAGTCAGAGTAGGTTTGGGTTTAAATAAAAGACACGTTGGCACTACTCTGAAATGTGTCTCCAGAGAAGTTAGGATCAGGCAGGATCTAGAAACTGATTTGAATAAAAGCTGATTGGACAATACCTGAGGTGGGAGCCCTAATGGTATAGCGGCTAAGCATTGAGCATTGCAGATGTCAGACAGTTTCCTGAAAAGGCAATATTTATTCCCATTTAGACAAAGCAATTGTTCAGGAAGACTGTCTATCTGTGCCCTTTGGGCTTGGCAGTGGGTTTTGGTTTTTATACACAGGGTAGAAATAAGATGATTTCTGTGGTACAATGAATTACACTTAAAATGGCCTTTACAGCCATGGACCTCTAACTCCCACAAATCGACTGGTGGGTCACAGTCTTGTAAGAGATTGATCAACTTACTATGTAAATAATTAACAATGACCACAAAACTACCACTGAGATGATTCTGACTCATAGTGATCCTATCGGAGAACTGCCCCTGTGGGTTTCTGAGTGACTGGTCGTTTAGAACTGCCGACCTTGTAGTTAGAAGTCCACTGTGACACTAGGACTCCTTATGCAAATAGTTACTTGAAAATTCTCTCAGTAGGGTTAAAGCCCCTTTGCAGTCCACTAAGGAATTGGCCATTTGGGAGTTACGTATCATCTGGAAGAGGGGAGTGGTGTAGAGTATGTCTCTTGGACAGGGGTCTCTGCCCTGAGAACCTTCTAGACCGGAAGAGAGCTGTTAACACTGGTCAGAGATGGTGGGCTCCCACAGAGAGGCAGCTGGGAAGGACAAGGTAGTTGGGTGCCTTCAGGCGGGGGGCAGCTGACGGCATACCTTCATGCAGGTTTGCCTGATGCTTAAGAGCTGTGAGACCCCTATCCCCCAGGACAGGGTGGTGGGAGCCACAGAGACCTTTGGGCGGCCCAGGCTTTGGTAGTGTGGTGGCCAGAGAGAACATGACCCTGGGTAGCAGTGGTGGAAGCCAGCAGCAGAGACCTTGAGGGACCCAGCAACCAAGGCTCACAGAACAGCAGTCTTTGCAGCATCGAAGCAAAGCCCAGGGAGGCCCCATGGAAGAGCGGAAAGCACAAGCCGTACAGGCCCCCTGCCCCCAGGCAGTGTGGTGTCCACAGCATCTGAGCCCACCGTGGCATGCCTGAAAATGGACATGGGGAATTTGAGGAGTAAGTTTCCTTTTGGAGAAAAGCTTACTCTTTGCTATGATTTCCACTTCGCCAGCAGTGTCTCTCAAGGGCTCAGTTCTATCTCAGGTGAACCCAACACTCATGTCAGTGAGGGCTGTCTCATTCCTAACGATCTTCTGGCCCATGTGCGATGCATAGCAATTTCTAAGGTTTGTTCCATCTGAGCTTGTATGACCCAGGTAGAAAAAGAAGAGTTAAAATCGTGAGTAGCTAATGACTACACGCCATCATGGTCACTTGATAGTCTTCCAACATGGGAACCCCAGGTGGAGACAAGAATCAACACCTGTGCACATGTCCTCCACTGCTAGAGAAGCTAATTCATTGCCGCCACCACCCCACCCTCGACCTAGCACAGCATGGCGCTGTCAACAATGAATGGGTTTACAGGAAATAACGCATTTTTCTAACAATGAGTGATTGTGGTATTGTTTTATTGCGGGGCCCCCCCCCCCCCACTTTAAAAATCACACATGGGCATTTGCTCATACAGTCTATGAAAACCAGTAAAAGAATCCACAACACACATGGAGAGCACAGGAGAGACGATGCGTTGAGCCCTTGTGGAAAGCAGTATGGCTCTTGCTGAACTGACAGAAGTCCGGCTGGAATCTCAGGAACTTTCCTTCATGCTACATACTCACTTTCGGACTACAGATGTAAATGGCTCACATACAAGTGCTTACCCACAAGTTGCTCCCCAAAGATGACCACAGTACCGGCAGGACTATGCACTGCCTTCGAGGAAGACTCAGGATAAGATAGGATCCAGTCAAGTTGTACCACAGCCAAAGTATTTCACAGGCTTAGCAGAAAAGACAAAAATTAAGGAAATTAACCTACACTTATTTCTCACGATTTATTATTGTCCAGGAACAGAGATATTACTCGGAAGGCACCATCACACGAAAAAGGGCTGACACACAACCGAACAGACACCCCACCTTCCGGCATCAGGTGGTGAGTGTCCCGGGTTCTGCGTGAGAACGCAACAGCCACTGAGCCGCCGCGAGGGCGGCCACGCTGCAACAGTGGGGATGAACGGAGGGATGAAAAGTACACACAAATCCCACTGAGTCGCTAGATGTGAGTTCAGGTCCACCATACGATGAGCTTACTAGAGGTGAGGGGTTACCAGTTTCCTCATACAACTACTCAATGCTTGGCATGGTCTCGGAGAGGAACTGCTTTGACCCTCCAAACCACCTGTCTTCAAAAACCTATTCACTCCCGCTCATTTAAAAAAATGGCTAGTTCATGAAACTAAACAAAGCAAAACCAAACCCCAACAAGGCACTGTGAGCTTTTGCAGAGATTCTAAGTTGCTCAAAAGATAATTCCCGAAGCATTTCATGTCTTCTGGGTATGTGAACAAGTACATTTTAAAGAATCAAACAAGGTTTTGTAGGTGTTCATGTGGTTTTCTTGACAAGGAAAACGCTATCAACAGTAAAATGTCTTAAAACCGCACACGTATTCGCTATGAAATACACAATTTTGTTTTCTCCCTCTCTGACTTGGAATTTTGGTCTCTGAAACATGCTTTTAACGTTATGTCATGTATTCTTCCTTGTGAAAATCTCCCCCTGGAAATAAAAAGTGGGTCTTTTTGTGTTCACAGAACTCCAGTATTTAGTTCTCTTTGGCTTGAACGGCTCATATCAATGTGCAGTATTTACCAATGGTCCTGTGTCGAAGAAATGACTGTGGGGTTAGTATAGCTCAAGAGGGCCCATTCTTCAAGTTCACAGGAGACTACCCATCTCCTAAGAATATAGCCTTGACTTCTGGCTAACATTAATACGCTCAACTACAAATCAAAAGGGGGTCTGTGATCTTCAGATTGTACGCAGCAACAGTTACACCCATGAAAATTATAAAGAATTTTCTGTTTTTAAAGTGGTGGAAACACAGATGAAAATGAAAACATTAAAAGAAAAATTCATATACAAACAGAAGAATCAATAGTTTCACACTCCCTTTGAAGAACAAAAACTTAGACGCAGGTCCTTTTTATTAACAATGTTTCTAAAATCTTTTGACATTACAAGCCATTTTTACAGTTAAATTACACACTAAAGACATACATTATTTGGCTTAGGGATTAGAAAGATGATTAACTTACATCCTTCATATCAGATACTGCACTTCAACAGTTTGAGAAAACCTTTTATACTTTCTAAATTCAACATCTCTGAGGTGTTCATTTTCCAGGAAAGTGAAATTAAGATGAATTAAAGGAACTTATTGGCATGTGGTTTATTGGAAAGGTGATGCCTTTGGCAAGGCTAAGCTTCCAAAACTCAAAAAACCAAAGATCAAATACCCTGGATTCTCAATTATTAATCCCAAGCTATGTGCGTTATCTTGTCTTTCCCTCCCCGTGAATGAAGCTCTGCTTTAAATCTAAGTTACTCAAGATTTTGTGATGAATAAAATACTATTATAGTGGTCCTTAATCCCCACTTCTTCCTTTTCGTTTGGTAATTGAGATATACTTTCCACAATGTTACACTTTGGCCACCTCAAACACCAGCAGCATGTGCATTCTGTCCATCAACCTACAATAAACACCGTGCTCTACATTTGTATGGTACGGTAGCTCAACAAAAGCGAGTTTCCCTTTGAACAAGTCATATAGCACACTTCTGATTGGGACCACTGAACTTCTCTGATCAATTATGGTTAGGAAAGAACATGATAATGGCAAATCACTGGGGCCAACATGCAGAAAGGCATTTTGAAAATGCAAACAAAGAATTAGCAGTTCCTAATATTCTTGAGATTTCCTTGCAACCATCTGTATCCCATATAGACATATGCTGATGAAAATGGAATCTTTCGTTGTTTGTTTCCCCAAAACATCGACCATGTATGCACAATAAAAGGCTACCAACTTCATATAACTTTCAAGTAACAGTAATATAGTATGAAAGTAATCTTAGGACAACCCCCAAGTCCTCAGAAAAGGAACTAATTTCATCCTTTGTGGCAAAAAGCTTGACCCCAATGTGTGGCTCCCTTAGTCCTTCTAAAAAAGCTCCAGTTACTTAGCACACAATGGCATTCACGTATGCACTGTCAACTGCACTCAACGTTAAGGCATCAATTTCTCTAGGGGCCAAGAAAGCCGATTGGAGTATTTAGTACTCAGGCTACTCCTCACTATCAGCAAGTTCTCATTCCCACTGAAACGTCAACCCAAATGTGACATCATCAAAACTGGGGAAAATGTAACTGAAATGTAGAAAAGACAAACATATGAGATGTAGTACTAAAACAGGCGTGATATTTAATACAAGCTTATTAAAAATGAGTAAAGAAGCTTTACATAAACAAAGGTCTCCAGCTTTATGAAGCCATTTCCCCCAGACATTTCAGAGTTAAAAGGCAACATTTAAATGTTTCTGAGAGTATTTATGAACTCAAGTCTTCTGTAAATTTACAGAGGCAACTCTCAGAAGCAAGCCCAGGAAACCGGGGGACTGACTTTCTAATTTACTAAATCAGAGTTAAACAGTATTGATGAATGTTCATGTGCTTCAAAATGATTCCATCGTTGCCATTATAAAATGAAAGCTGGGAATCCTGCATACATGGAACAAGCAAAGCCAAAATAAAGCACGCATTTCTACAGCGCTCATATAGACCAGTGAAGACAATGATTCCGGGTGTTGCTGCTGCTCGGTGCCGGTGAGTTGGCTTTGACTCAGTGACCCGACGCCAACAGAACAGCGCACGGCCTGGTCTGGCACTGTCCTCCCCAGCACTGCAACGCTGCAGCACGTTCGTGGAGCCACTGCGCCAGTGTCTCATTGAGGGGCTTCTTTTTCTCACTGATGCTCTGCTTTCCAATCACGATGTCCTTCTCCAGGTCAGCCCATTCCTGGTGAGATGCCCAAAGTAAGCAAGTCTGTCTTGCTTCTAAGGAGCACTCTGGTTGTACTGGTACACAGTTTTCTAACACAAAGTAAAGGACTCTTGCGGGTACAGTGGCTCAAATGCTCGGCCGCTACCCAAAAAGTCAGCTGTTTGATCCCCACAGCAGCAGTGGGACAAAGACGAGGCAGTCTGCTCACACAGGTAACAGCGTTGGCAGTTCTACTCTCTCTCTAGAGTACTGTGAGTTGGGAGTCGAACTGACGGCAGTGGGTTTGTTTTGGTTTTTGTTTACTAACACCAAGCAAAGACGTCCGAGGTTATTGAAATCTGAACTCCCTCCAAAAGTGTTCTAACAACCACATGCAAGGAATGGATCTGCTGATGAATCTGTAAGTTTCATTTTAAAACTTTTTTTTAAAACTCAGGAACATGTATACACTTCCAGTGAGCTATTATTAGTACCTTATCACACTTTACATTTCATTTCAATAATTAGAGAAATTACTTTGATGCATTTTTATAAAGCTGAGAATTTTCATTTTAGAGAAAATTTCCTCAAGTATCCAACTATTTCAAAAATGAAGGGCTTTACGCGGAGGTCTGCTGGAAGTTGTATGATCAAAACAAATCACCATTAAAGAGAGGCAGCTTCTAATAGATACATGCTTCAGTTTTGTTAAATATTTAATTTTGATTTGCTTAGAGATTTAGGTTTATTAGTTTGAAGCCAAATTTAATAGTTAAAAATGATTTATCATTTTGAAGTCTTAAAAATACCTTTTTGTCAATTTTAAATTTCCGCTTTTCTGGTTAAGGCTACTTCAGATATAAAAGATATCAAACTGCCCCAAAATACTTTGGAGCTGCTGCTACACAGACAGACAGTATGTCCTTGTAAAGGATCGTCTGCAGATTGGCTTACACTAACTGATCAAATATCAATTTTAAAAAATTATCAAAAGTTAGTATTGCATTAAGAAAAGAATCCATCTCAAAATGTGATCATGAACCTTGACAGGCAGTAATTCAAAGTAATCATTTCACTCATTTTAATATCCAGGTTTGAATGTAAAAATGCTTGGCTAAAGGTGATTAATGTTCTCATTATTTAAGAAATATGACATTTCAAACTTTTGATTATGGTATGTATGCATTATATTACTTTCTTTTTAAAATTTAGGTTAAACCAGTAATTCAAAACAGGCATTAAGCCATTATTAAAAATTAAATGGAAACTTTACTTCCAGATGAAAATTTATCATGCTGTTTGGATTAATTAAAATTTTTTTCTTTTTATCATTGGAACTGTTGGGGCTTTCAGATTCAGTAACAGCTCAGTGAAGACTGTTTCCTTAGTCCAACAATCCCTCCTACTGGAGCTATGCGGGAAAGATGTCTCCTTCTGCTCCTGTTGAAGCTGCTGCTTCTGCATCTCAGCACAAGACAGTGAAACAAGAAACGTGAGGAATCTACAGTGAAGAAAGACATGGAGTTTTGTGGTAAACCTGTTCTTCACCTACACTGGAGTCAGCTCTACTTACGAAACGTAGTGAACAAACTAGGATGTAACACTAGGTTATGTCAGGGATACAAGTACAGCTGACGCGGCAGTAGAAACAAAAAACACAGGATAAAAATGCATCCCTTAACAGTACAATTTGTATAGTGATGACTTAAGGTCTCTCTCTACATATACTAATTGCAAGGAAAATGCAGGTGAAGCACCTGACAAAACTGAAGGCATCCCAAAGAGCAAGCTGCCTATCCCCTTTCCTGGCCTGATACACTCTCTCCTGAACCGCCTACCACTCACACTGGAGTGTGCCCCTGAGCAGCACATGCAGACACTACTCCTGAGTAGGAGCCTTCCCTGCATATCTGCTTCCCAGAAACCACCTTTGGAAAAGAGACGACACCAATATCTGCCTTTCTTCCCCTCGAGGAGGACGCTTCAATACAACACAGCTGGCGGCATCCTCCTTGGATATAACAACAGCAGTTTGTGCTGCCTGAATAAAACCTAAAACGATAACCGTTTGGCTGTAAACTGATGCACCTACAATGAGAGAGATTTTGAAATACCCTCTTTCAATCCATAGATGTAGAAACAAAACAAACTAAGGAACGGAAAAAATACAAGACTTGAAAACAAACTCATTTCAAAACCAACAAACAAACAGAGTTGAAATACAGTCCGTGACATATTTGATTACTGGTATAACCATAGTTGAGAAATTGAGGGGGGGGGGAATGATGTTTTGCACTGAATTTATAAAAGGTTTCCATTTCCAAAGATGTTGTTGGGGTCCACGTATTCCTTGACAGACTTCAGCATCCCAAGGCCGACATCAGAGATGCTTTCCTTAAGCCACTGCTTCCGCAACTTGCCCACTGGAAAAACAAGATCAAAAATGCTTCAGTATACACTGTGATGCTGGGACCAATCAATCTTGTGACCATGAATGAACAAACACTGTGTGATAAATGCTTTTATTCAAAAATGAGAAATGTTTTGCTTTATTTGATTTATTGAGCCCACCAGACTATCAAGCTCATTAAGCCCAATGTCTTCCCAGGGGATGCCTGTGCTCCACACGGTCTCTTTTGTCTGTAAACTATGAAATGGAGATGGAGGAAGCGTGGCCTAAGAGGACGGCCCATTTTACAAACAACAAAATCAGAAAAACATGAATTTCACAAAAACACACCCCCTCTTAACTACCAAAACAGGTCAAGGTTTCAGCGAAAAACGAAGCAACTGAAGAAAAGCATCAGACCCAGGTGAAAGTGCCGCGTACCACAGAGCGAAAACAACAGGACATGTTTGAAGGACTACAAAAGCTTAAATAAAGAAGAAAAGCTGTCCTTTAATAAACATTCAAAAAAACCCAACAACAACAACTTCATGAAGCTTTCCACTTCCAATTCCTTTTTTTTGTATAACTACTTTTAAGCAAATATATTCCCACATAGTGGCTACTTTCCTCCTATTGTTTTTTAGAATTAGAAATGATTTTTAAAAAAATCTTTTTATTGGGGGCTCGTATAGAGATGATTTTTTAAAGCCCCTAAATAAACACCCAACCCGGCCCAACTCAAACCTATCTTCTGCTTTTACGCATTGAGGTATATTTCCCTCCTTTTCCCCTAACACTTAAGTCATTTATTCTTCTGTAGTTTAGTGACACAACTGTTAGCAGCTTATGTGATATTCTCAAAGGCACTAATGAAAAACAACCTTCTCTAAGTAGATATTTTACAAAATATAGGTACTTTCTTTTTTTTTTTTTTAAATATAGGTACTTTCTTTGGCATTAAAAACTAAAGCAATATGCTGGTGTATGGATGGTGAAATTGAAAAAAAAAATTTAATTTATGGTTAGGATTATTTGTGATTATTACTCAACAAACGCATTCTTGTAATAAAGGAATCCAAATGGTCATTTCCCACAAATGCTCATTAATGATTCAACATCATCAAAAGTAATTTAATTGGCCAACCAGAATGGGAACCCTTTCATTAATGTTTTCAACCTGTCAGTCTACAATGCATTCCCATTTATCAGGCTGCTGTGATACACTGGAGCATCTGCCTTTTGGAAACCTTAAACTCCACTTCAAACTCAAACTATCTTTCGTGTGCAATTCTGCAGGAACCTGCCAAGCTGTCATCAAAATAACAAATAGCACGATCCCCTGAGAGTTCAAAATATCGCTGGTTGGGTTCTGGAAGTAAAAAAGCATTGCTGGTATTAAGATGGAGTGTGGGGGTGGGTGGTGAAGGCAAAAATGACAAATTCTGTTTAAGAGAACGAAAACCAGCAGACACCCAGGACACAGTCTTACTCATAGCCCACTTCAAAGATGTTCTTCTACTGAGTCCCGGAAGAACCACCGTGCTTTGGCCCCGTTCCCTCATTAGCACAGAGGAATTGATATGTTCTAAAATCTTCAATCTTGATCTTTTATGTTTTTATAAACTACAGAAAAAGTTGCAAATCGGCTCCTTCCAGGTTTGCCCCAAGAGATTAAAAATAAATCCAGACACAGTTACTCTGTGGGTGTAGAAACGGCAGGGCTCTAAGCTGTCCACACTGGGCTGCTGGAGCAGTCAATGCCGTCTCCCCGGGTATCTGTACTACAGCTGCATGACTGTGTCCTGTGGTCACAGATGCAACTGTCCCGAAAGACTGCAGACCACTGCTCCAACAAGACGAAGCACCCGGGAACGTCAGCGGATGCCCACCAGCTAGCTGCCCGCCTGGCTCTGCGCCTCCAGGGACAATGCACCCCACAAGGGGCAGCACCATCATCTGAGAAGCCACCCAACAGCCACAGCGTGTTTAATGAGGTCACTCACCAGGCGCTGGAAAACAGAGGGTGCCTGCAGTGCATCATTAGTTCCGTCAGAAGGATAATTTACACATCCATCTTGTCAAATTTTCTATGCTTTATACTTTTACAATAATCAATCAAACATACATTTGATTAGTGAACTAGAAAGTTAAAAAAAAAAAAAAGCAAGCAAGCTAGTAGAGAACAGCCGGCATAGCTATGGCCCCTCATGAACATATTTGATAAAAGAGTTTAACCCCTTGGTGGCAGAGGTCGGTGAGCTGCTTCCACACCTGCTAACAGTTTGAACTGGGGTCGGAAATCGTGGCTTATGCAATTAAAGGGACTAGGAATCTTTAGGATATGTAAATAATAAACAACTGTCTAAGCATAAAATCTAAATGAGCCTTTATAGCCAACATAATAATGATTGGGAGTGATCTTCTTAAGATTTAATAGAACTTTCTTTGACTGTGTCAGAGCAATTAATTTTAAAAGTGACATTAAAGTAAAATAATGATCACAAACATCAAAAGGCCCTAATCTCAGACAGGGCTGTTACTTCGAAGTTGAAGACATTTATTAGAGTTGATGTCACTCACCAACAACAAACAGCCTATGTACAGTCCTTAATGTGCACTGCTAGACATGCAGAAAGTAGCGGATTACACAGTACATGCTACACATGTCTAATATACTCTTTGGTGGCTGCCTCGACATTTGTAGAATACGTTTGAGAAAAAGAAGAAGAGCTACTTTTATGTTGCACTACTGAGCACTCTTTGGATGTGGTACACATCCACTGAAAACTCACATATGCATTCACTCATACCACATGAGGCTTCCTCCTCTCCCCAGACCTGGCTCATCTGATGTGGTATTCAAGGCCAGTGACCCAACTAAATGTCTTTGATTTCCGATTTACAAGTACAAACCTAGCCTTGGAGTCAATACCAGAGCTACAAAAAGCCAAGAGCACCATCTTTGAAAATAAGGTAGGGACTCTATGTTCATAACTATTATTTTAAATATAATGCCAAGTTTTAAGAGTCTTGGGTATATTTGAAAAAGGATATACGGTGGGACAAATACTATAGAAAACAAATAGAGGAAATATTTTGGCGTGTGCTTAAATTAAAATAATTGTTACCCTTTTTACAATTTATTTTCTAGTGATATATATATACACATATATGAAACAAACTTCGGGCTCTTCCAAATAACACAGTACATTTTTTTAGAAATTTACTTCTGAAACACAAACTGGGACGCATGGGGTAGTCTTCACAGGCACAGGCTGCTCCCTCTGGGTGTGAGCTGTCCCGTGAAATGAGGCATCCTGACCAGTAGCAGAACAGAACGAGCAGACTCATGGACAGGGTGGGGAGTTGTGTATGGAAGATGTGGACGTGGTAGTCAACCTAGCCACCAAAAAAGGGTCTGGAATTACTTTCTGAGGTGTGAGGAACTGATGACTTGGCAGAAAACTGCCGACCAGTTCTATCCTACAAAGGATAAATCTGGGGGCTGACAGGCAGTTTCCTTAAGCTAGACAGTCCTTGAAAAATTTAAATATATGAACTTGAGTATATGGCCAAAAGGATTTGTTGTTTACTTATTTTAAAAAATATATGAACAGGTCACACATTTTTTTTAATACAAAAAACTACTAAAGCTAAAGCTTGGCAATAAAATTTAGACAAAGGAGAAGCCCTTATCATCATAGCTTATTTTCCAAAGTTCGCCTCTGAACGTCTACTTCAACACTATTCTGTAGGCTGATTTAAAACAGAAAATCTAAAACAAACCAACCAGAAAATCTAAAAAATTAAAAATAAAATCTATATTTAGCTGCTTATAGACATGAACTGACACAGCTGTGCTTGCTGAAAAAGTGCAGCAGACTTGAAGCACTTACTGATGAAGATCAAAGACTCCAGCCTTCAGTGTGGTTTGTATCTCAAGATAAAGAAAGACAAAATCCTCACAAGTGGCCCGATAAGCAGCATCGTGATAAGCAGAGAAAAGAAGTAAGTTGTCAGGGATTTCACTGTACTTGGATCCACAATCAACACCCAAGCACACATCAGTCAAGAGATTACACACACTGATGGCACTGGGCAAATGCTGTGCACAAGACCTCTTTAGAGTGTTGAAAAGCAGGGATGTTTGTTAGTTTGAAGACTACGGTGTGTCTGACCCAAGACATGGTGGTATTTTAAGTGAATAAGGAAGATCCGAGGAGAGTTGATGCATCTGAATTATTTGCTGGCGAAGAACACTGAAAGTACCATGGACTAGCACAAGAACAAATTTATCTTGGAGGACATACAGTCGAATGATCCCTAGATGTGAGGAGGTGAGACTTCATTGCATGTAACTTTGGACACGTTCTCAGGAGACCAGTGCCTGGAAAAGGACGTCATACGTCAGTGAAGAAGAGGAACGCCCCTCAGTGTGATGGGCATTTGCAATCACTGCAACAACGGCACGGGCCTGACAAAGGCAAGGATGGTGCAGGACGGGCCACGGTTCCTTCTGCTGTACTCAGGGTTGCTATGAGTTGGAACTGAAGACACAGGACCTGACAACATAAAACAAGCTGGCTGTGTGCTTAGTGGGTTGTACATGTTGAAAATACATGTTCAACGTTAGCCAACAGATCGCTAACTGTAAATGTTAATGTGCAGCCTTTAGGAGCATATGCGATGGAACTGACTAAAAACATAAATGTAATGCTAGGTTAATATGAAAAGTCATGTTTGAATTCTTTATGACATCATTTGACTTTATTTTCTAATGCACTTCTGATGTTAAGATAACAAAAACTTTAAGCACAATGGGTGTTGACCAGGGCAATTACAATTTTCTATTATTGTAAGATTTTTCACTTATCGTAAATACTGTAAATGGAAGTGTTCTTCATGCTATCATTTCAACTTGTGCAGCTTATTTAACAGTTCTAAGTGCCTATAAAGTTTAGATGGGGTTTTTAGAGATTATGAAATAAAAAAAATAAATGGTGACAATATATTACAAGAACTGGATTCAACCTG